GGGGTGCTCGGCCGCCGGCTGGCGCTGCTCGGCCGGGGCCGGAGCTGCTTGGCTGGGGCTGGGGCTGGTGCCCCGGTGCCCAAGCCGAGCTGGAGTTGCTAGGGCTGGAGCCGCCGGGGCCGGGCGGGCTGGAGCCGCTCAGCCGGGCCGGCGCGCTCGGCCGGAACCAGGGCCGGCGCCCCAGGGTCCGAGCCGAGCCGTGCCGGAGACGCCGGGGCCAGAGCCTCTTGGCCGGAGCCAGCCGCCGGAGGGAGCCGCTCGGCTGTGGGGGCCGGACTGGGCCGCGCCTCTTTGCGCCCCCCTTCCCCTCCCCCCGCCCCAGCTTACCTGCTGCCTGCCTGTTTCAGGCTTCCCGCGAACATTTGATTAGCAGGAAGCAGGGGAGGGGGAGGAGCAGGGGGGCGGAGTGCTCAGGGGAGGGGGTGGAGTTGGGGCGGGGACTTTGGGGAAGGGGCGGAGTTGGGTGGGGCTGGAGGCGGGGAAGGGGCGGAGTTGGGGTGGGGCTGGAGGCGGGGAAGGGGTGGGGTTGGGTGGGGCCAGGGTCCTCTTTTTGTTGTATTAAAATATGGTAACCCTAGTAAATTGGCATTGCTGCATTGAAATCAGTGCTGATTTACACCAGCTGAGGCTCTGGCCCTGATGGTGTAAAAAGGCCAGGGTGATAGCTGGGAACAAGCTCTGCTCAAGTGTTAGGAAAGCCAGGGCTTGAAGGACCATCCCAGTGTGTGAAATCCCGTCTCACCTGGAGAGGACTCCCAGGCTGACCTGGCTTGGCCAGGCTCCCCTCGGAGGGCTCCGTCCCTCACGTGAGCTAGTGGGTCTGACCCATGTAGAGGAAGCTCAGCATCCCTTTTCTGTGTTCTTCTTTCCCCCAGGGACCATGCGTCCAGTGAGGAGGAACTTCTATGAGCCCTCCTCGGCCCCTGGGAAGGGGATCGTGTGGGAGTGGGAGAACGACAACAACTCCTGGACTCCCTACGACATGGATATTTGCATCACCATCCAGAATGCCTATGAGAAGCAGCACCCGTGGCTGGACCTCTCCTCTCTGGGCTTCTGCTACCTGATCTACTTCAATAGCATGTCGCAGATGAACCGGCAGACGCAGCGGAAGCGCCGACTCCGGCGCCGCATGGACCTGGCGTACCCGCTCACTATGGGCTCCATCCCCAAGTCCCAGTCCTGGCCTGTGGGCACCAACTCCGGGCAGCCGTGTTCCTGCCAGCAGTGCCTGCTGGTCAATAGCACCAGGGCAGCCTCCAATGCCATCCTGGCCTCGCAGCGGAGGAAGGTGTATGTGGGCAACAGCAATGGGACTCTGGCTGTTAGGCAGAGCAACACTTTCAACGGCACAACATTGTGGTCTGCGGGCACCATGCCAACTGGGGGGACAGCTAAGATGGAGCAGGTCCGATCCCCTAGCAGCATGCAAGTGACCACCTTCTCCCGAAGCCAGAGCGCTCCCACTGGCACCCAGCTTCCTGGGCAGAACAACCTGAACAGGCCTGGCACGCAGCGGGTTGCAGTACTGAGTACCAGGGCCTCCATCCCACCAGGGTAAGGATCCATACCTCTTGTGGCTTCAGTGGCGAGGAGATGGGGGTAGCTACTGAAGGGCAGATGTGCAACCAGGTCACATTATAGGGCTGTTAAAATGGTTCAGTGCCCCTCAGCCATTCTGCCTATGGTGATATATGGCCTGCATGTTTATGTAGTCTGGCATCCTGTCAGAGACCCTCAGCTCTCACCTGGAGCAGACGCACCCTCCTGAGTAGATGATGGAATTCAGTTTCTGTTCTTTCAAACATGGGGCCTGATTCTCTTCTCTCTTATGCCAGGGTAAATGAGGAGTGACTGCACTGATGTCAGTGGCGTAACACTGGGGTCAAGCCAGTGTAAGTGAGAGGAGAACCAGCTGCCTGGTGTCCGCTATGCTACTTGGCTAGCGGAGTCCAACCCTGGCATGGAAGGAACTCCCCTCCCTGGTCGGATTCAATTTTCATATTCTGTCAATCTTGATAACCCTCCTCTGCTCCACCAATGGCATCTAGCCCTGCCCTGGGGGTAACCCAGCCATTGGGATTCTGTGCCTAGAGGCCTTATAGAACAAATATATTGAAAGAGCAGGTCCATGTCCATCACTGCGGACTTGTGCAGACACTGTTCTATATGATCACGTGTCACTCTTTTCCAGGCTTCCATCCTGTCCAAAGAGGGGCCTGTGTCACTTGGTATTTCCTGGAGGGGGCTCTCCGTTGTTCTTTGGGTGTGTTCATTGTCAGAGAGCCTGACATTCCTGACTAGCTCCACGCAGCTCCCCGAGGGCCCACACATGGTGCGACACACCTCCTCTACTTCCAGTGCGGAAAGCCAAGATGAATTCATGGGATGGCTTTCCACATGGAACCAGTAACAGACCAGCAAGAGGAGGGCCAGGGGGGCTGGCACCAGGGTGGGAAGGGAAGGGAAGAGCTGGGTGTGGTGGGCAGTCCTGGAACTTGACAAGAGATTGACCTAGCGGAAGTCACCCTGGCACCATCAAGATCTGTCTGTTCCTCTCTCCTGCATGTCCTATTTCCCAGTAACATACACAGCCCCGGTCTGGGCAGAGGAAACCTCTCCCCTTTGGAACTACTCCCTAACTCCTCAGCCCGTGGGCATGGTAGCCATCCTGTGCCTAAGTGGGCTGTGTGGGGTCTCTCCTGGGCCTCATTAGCTCAGTTAAAGGGATCGTGGCAGGTCAGCTCCAGCCCAGTAGCTCGTCCCACCTCTGCAGGGTGCGCAGCCCCACATGGCCAGTCACATGGAGCGCTGACCACAGACCCAGCCGGAGAGAACAGGGACAGGTTGTGCTGGAGAGAGCAGTTGGTATTTCTGAGCAGCCCTGAACTGGCAGGTGCAGGCCCGGGCCAAGGGGAGACAGAAACGGCTGTTGTTCCAAGGAGGACGTCAGGCGCCGTGCCCTGCCTTGCGGCCTTGCAGAGCCTGGGCCTTGCAACCGCCCTCCCCGGAGCCGCCATGCACAGCTGAAGAGCCAGGGGATGGGGGTGTCCGACTGTCACTGGGGATCGGGCTGCCTGAGGGGTCGGCTCTGTGCGCTGAAAGTTGCGTGGTCTTGTTGCTGTGGCAACCGGGCCCAGGTGCAGTGAGCTGTAAACACAAGGGGATTCTCCCAGCATAGCTAAGTGTCCACTCCTGCTTCTCGCTCTCACTCTCCCAGCCTCGTTCCTCCTCCATCCCTAGTCCCTCCACCCCCAATCTGATTTAGTGCATCCTTAATTTCCAGTGCTGGGCCCATCAAACCCCCAGCGGCTCAATGGACCATAGCTAGATAGACAGATGGACAGAGTGGGTGGATGGGAAGGAGGGATGGGGAGTGGGATGGAGGGATAGAGGTGATGGATGGAGGGGAGAGATGGGGAAGGAGGAGAGGGATGGGAAGGGAGAGATGGAGGTGGGATGGGGATGGATAGAAGGAAGGCCTGGGGATGGAGGGGATGGATAAAGGGGAGGCATGGGGATGGAAGGGAGGGATGTGGGGAGATGGATGGAGGAGAAGGATGAGGATGGAGGACTGGAGGGGAGGAAGGAAAGGATGGAGAGGAGGGATGTGGGGAAGGAGCCCCAGTAACGCTAGCAGCAAGGCTCAGAGTGGGGTGCCTTGCCCTGGGCTGTAGACCCAGTCAAAATAATCCAGAGCTTTGATGTGGTGGTGGTGGGGGGTGCTCAGTCCCTGCTCTCTGTGCTGGGAGGAGCGATGCAGCCAAGTCTGAGCAGTGCTTCCAATGGGCTTGCAGAGCCCAGCAGGGACCATCCCTGTTCTTCTCAGGGTCTGATGCTACTTGCAACCGTACCATGATACATGCTGGAGATGCAGGGGCATGGCTCTGGGTCCATTTCCGGTTGGAAGTTAATCCCGTGGGTCTATCTGGGTTTGCTGTCAGACTGTAGAGCTCTTGGGTTGGGTAGTGCTGCTATTGCCAATCAGGCATCAGCTTCACTGGGCAGGGTAGACCACTAGACTGGGACTCGGGAGACCTGGGTTCTCTCCCTGGCTCTGCCATTGGCCTGCTGGGTGACCCTGGACAAGTCATTTCACCTCCCTGAGCCTCAGTTTCCCCATCTGTAAATGACATTGAGCTTCTTTGTAGAGTGCTTTGAGATCTATGAATGAAAGGTGCTATAAAAAGCTAGGAATTATTATTCTTCATATTGGACTGAGCTTCATCACTATTCTGGGTCCATCCCTAGTCAATATCTGGGCTTAGATACCAGGCTGGTAGATGCCTGAGAAATATCTTTGCTAGCTAGGGTCAGAGCTTCAATTTGTATAACTTGGCCCAGATCTGCTGAAATAATGGAGCTATGCTGAGTCCCACCAGCTGCGGAGCTACCCAGAACCCATACAGGGGGAGGGATAGCTCAGTGGTTTGAGCATTGGCCTGCTAAACCCAGGGTTGTGAGTTCAATCCTTGAGGGGGCCCTTTAGGGAACTGGGGTAAAAATCTGTCTGGGGATTGGTCCTGCTTTGAGCAGGGGGTTGGACTAGATGACCTCCTGAGGTCCCTTCCATCCCTGAGAATCTATGATACAATAGGCAGTCAGCTGGGCTGGCACACTCATCCTGGGACCATTGTGATCAGTTAGTCTGACCTGCTGGATCGCCCAGACCCGAGAACTGCCCCACAGTAACGCCTAATGAAAGCTGACTCAGACATGACTTTCACCTCCTGGCTTTTCAGCTGTCCCCCTTGCTCCCTCCTCTGCTTTGGACCCCAAGCAGCAGAGCCACCCCCAGCCCTTCTCCGATCAGCCTGAGAAATGTATTGGAACAAGTTGTCCTAGCTTGACTCTTGTAACCTCTGTCAGCAATGAACCAGGCAATTCTCTGAGATCCCCCCCCCCCCTTAAAGCCCTGTCAACACCAGCCTATTCCCAAATAACTCCGAGACGGTGGAGCACATTCTGCTCTTGGGTGCCCCAGGAAAGCTCACTGAAGGCAATGCGGGTTCCCTGGGGACAACTTTTCCCAATGTAAGAAGCTTTCTACATAGTTATATCTAACTAGAGGCTCTTTCCGGCCTGCCCCCTATGAATTAAACAGAGAGGGCCAGCTCCTCTGTTGGTGTCAATTGGTAGAACTCCACTGAAGTCAGTGGAACGATGCTGATTTACACAGCTGAGGAGCTGGCCCCCTTGGTGTGTCACAGTTGTAAAAAGAGGGGATGAGGGAGCTGCAGGTGAGTCTGGATTCCTCAGCAGGCCTGCCAGGTGAGTATCCCCCTAGGTCAATCTTACAGGCACCGTGTTCCGCTCCTGCGTGGTCCCTCTGAGCAGGCCTTGCTGCCTTGGAGTAATTCTGCAGCATTCACTTAACAAGCCTCTTGTATTCCTCGTCCTTTGGGGACTTTCTTTTCCTTCCGCTTCCTCTCATTACCTTGGTATCTGAGATCTTCCCATTCCAGAGGTGTCTCTCTCTCATCCTTCTCCCCTCCTTAGTTCTGCTTTTCGCACTGGCACTCTCAGGCAAACCAGTGTCTTTTTTCAGTCCCCAGGAGCGACCAGTCGAATGATGTCAGGAGATAAACCCGATTGGATTAACTGTAAAACCCTCAGTTAATCCAAGGCCATGAGTGGGGCAGACCCAGTCTCCAGCCCCGCCGCACTGACACCCAGGGGCTGTAAATGGGCTGGCTGTGTGTATAGTCATACCCCACTGGGAGCCTCTCAGCATGGAGGTGGGGAGGGATGTGATGGAAGTTGCAGAGCGGGAGAGCTCCAGCACTCGGATGGGCAGCCTGGGCAAGATTAGCCCTCCAGTGCAGTTGGCCCAGTGCTGGCACAGGGGTTTCTGGGGGCAGAAAGGGTTCATCAGTTCACCCCAATAACTCATTGGCAACAGGTGTGGTACCACATGACAAGGAAAGAGCACGTATGTTTTATAGTGGAAGTCCCCCCAGGGCTCAGCATAGCCTCATTGACTCAGTGGAGCTGCTGTTTACATCAGCTGAGGTTCTGGCCCATCGATTCCAAGCAGAGGATGCAATCCAGCAATACTCCCTGAATGGCAAATTCAGACTATTCCACCTTCTTCAGCCCTCTGTTTCTGCCACCTCATATCCAAAACGCTCCCCAGGCCTCAGGGGGAACTGAGAGCAGCCTTCAAACGGGGAAAGGAAATGGGGAGGAGATGGGTCCAGAGACTGGAAATGAGTGGGGCAGACCCAGTCTCCAGCCCCACTGGAGATTTCTGGCTCGAGCTCAGTCCATGTCAGCTGGTGGCCTGTGTGAAATGAACTGGCAGGTCTCAGTCCAGTTCCGACATCACCAGGCTGCAATTGGCCCACCCTGGGTGGGGATGTCAGCATAGGAGGCAAGGACTGAATGCAGCATGGAGGTCACCCTTCCAGGTCAGAGTCAGGGGATGTAGGCAGTGTGGTGGGGGGGAGTTTTCATTGTGCTCTATGTGTTCTGCACATAAACAAAGAGCTGTGGTCTCCAAGGGGCTCCCAACACTGCACTTTTCACCAGCACAAAAGTGCCTTTGCCAGGGTGGA